TAACTCGTGTGGGGTAGTGCCTTTGCTGTTTGCGTTATGCAGAGCTCACTGACTTGTCAGTTTGAGCACTCTAGCAAGGTACGTTCGGGCCTGGTGAAACCTGGCTTTGAAAACATTATTTCTCAATGCTATCAGGTTCGGCCTCATTTTTTCTGTGCTGCGCTAATGAGTCCACAACGAACGGAAACAGCATGCTGTCCGAAGATTGGGTAAACCTGGTGGTGGTAGATGTACAGTCAGTTCATTGAGTCCCTGACCAGCACCAGGATCCTTGCAGGAGGGGAGTCTACAGACTGGTCTATGCAATACCACTTGCACTTGCCGTTCATTCATGACGCCATGATAGCCAGCCGTCATATCACTGGTAGACGTACTCCACAGCAGTCTGTAGATCTTCGGCCTCAACATGCTCAGTGCCTTTAAAAAAATAATGTTCTTTATTGCCGCAGGACGGTATAGGCACTTCGTCCTGTACTGTAGTACACGCACAGCATACACTGTCTGTACATGTACATGACTATTAATTTTATTATTACTTGCATGTACGCGTTGGAGTCAACCATGCAAGCATGATCCACAACTTCGCTTATGCTGAACATGATAAACAGGACTATGACAGGGGAAGAAATTGAGCTAGAACGACGTATCATATACAATGTAGCTCATGGGTATTGAAGATATGTCATTTATGAATATGTCTATAATATGTCATTGAATATTGCAGCCTGAGTGATAATAATAGTGCTATTTCCTGAGTTTGACTGTTTCAGGATCTGTCGGAATATCACGATGCACAGATCTTTATACATAGATCTCGCCATGCGGGTCGGTCATGGGCAATGGCTCGCAGGCTCTGCAGAGCGTCTAGGTTCTCGAGCAATCCGGCCTTGGCTCGGCGCAGATCTCCCACCAATGCCTGCGGCAGGGTCGTCCGCGGTCTACCCCTCCAACATTGCTGTTGCTGATGGGCGAAGTACGCGAACATAGCCATAACAGCTGGGGTTTCATCTGCCATCCGCAGGATGTGGCCAAACAGCCTCCAGCGTGATCTCTTGACCATGACATTCAAGGGTTCACCTTCGCGCTGGCATAGAGAGCATCATTCGGTATTATTTGTGGCCATTTCACACTGATGAGTGACCTTAGCTGACGGCGGTGGAAGGAATCCAGGCGAGACAGAACGGTCACACTGACCCCCCCCCCCCCCCACGTACCCGAGTTGTACGTCAGTACTGGAATACTAAAAGTGTTGTACAGCCGCAGACGTAACTTCTCGCTGATGTGCTGATGCCTCTTCCAGAGGCTCCATAGGGACTGAAATGCTGCAGTCGCCAGCTGTTTTCGTCGCATAATATCCTCTTCGTCGCCCAGCAGCGAACCCATCTTGCGCGTTGTCCTCCACTCTTCTTCGATCCTGTCCGCACTTCTGAAGATGTTCTGTCCCGGTTCATGATCAGGAACCACTGTGGTAGCACCGTGCTGGCAGTCGCCTCCACGTCCGCCAGCCAGGACTTTGAGGTGCTGACAAAGTCTGCATCATCCGCATATACAAGTTTGAGCGGCAGACCGTTGTCGCTGAGAGGTCTTGCTGGCACCTCTTGCCTTAGTTGTCGGAGCGCAGCCTCCAGGTAAATCGTGAAGAGAAGGGGGGTAAGGCAATTTCCCCGTGGCGTCCCCTTCGTTGTAGCAAAGGATTCCGACTGGCACCTTCCAAGCCAAACACGAAGTCTGGTGTTAGAGATCAAGACCCTGATCAAGCGAACGTCATCGTCACTCAGAAACGCCTCAAGAACAATCAGCAAGGTGTCTCGCTTGATCGTGTCAAAAGCCTTCGACAGATCAATGCCCAGCAGGTGAACGGTGCTGTGGTAGCGCTGGGTCTTTGCCACAAGCCATCGATGCGCCCATACCACATCCGCTGTGGATCGGCCAGGGCGGAAGCCGCTGTGCGTCTGGGCTGGGTACTGGTCAACCTTGGGTCTGACTCGAGCTAAAGTGAGGAGTGACAGGGTCTTCCGCAGCGTGTGGAGAAGAACTATCGGACGTAAATTTGATGGTGGTCCCAGCGGCTTGTTGGGTTTCTGAAGTGGGATCAGACTGCCACTGCCTATATCAACCACCTCGTGTTGCTCAAACATGCCGTTGAAAATGCTGGTCAACACAGGAGCCAAAGCATGACTTGCATACTTCATCAGTTCTGTGGGGATACTGTCGTCTCCTGCGGCACGGCCATTGTTCAGTTTCCCGAGACAGCCTGCAATCTCTGAAGATGTAAGTAACGTGAACTATAACAAGGTAAGCTGGTAAGCTGGTTTGTCTAAATATAGTAATACTAGTATTGGCTTATATACTGTACTAGTAGTGAATGTACGTGAGTGTACAATCATGTACATTCACTAGTCTGGTGAAAACCGTGAACTACTTCCAGACTAGATTTTCAAAAACTACTACAATACTTGCACGGCGGGCCCTCATCCGTGGGAAGGAGCGTTAGTCAGAAATTCATCACCTTGCGATATGAATAAGGAGGTTGGTTGATACCCTACTGGAGCTCATTCTTTTGCCGCCAATCTGACTTAACACTTGACCGACTGGCGACCGTCCACCGGTAGTGGGTAGAACTTGATGTCGAGAAGTCACGTGACGTAGCTGCCATCTGCTTGACGGTGCGGCGTAGTTTCCGACTGGTGCATAGTTTTCAGACACTCCGTTTCTTTCTGAGTCGCTTCCACTCGATTGGAACGCTGTGGACAAACGGTTTCGTATTTCACCAGCCAGACTAGAGGCCTCCATTCGTTATTCAGTAACACTGCTGTTTATGAAGTTGATTGTTCCAAAATAGGAACACACGCTTCTTGCCGATCTTGACACCTGAGTGACAGTTCGGAAAGAAGCGTGTGTTCCTAGTTGAAACAATCAACTTCATGACTATTACCGCCGAGGTCGCAACTTCTAAGTTCGTACTGTTGTTTAGTACAACGAATGAAAAGTAAACAATTGGTTTCAGACGTTTGCTGTGTCAGCCGAATGTAACTTAAGCCTAGTTCACATTCGACGGGGCGCGACGGGACGCGACGTAAGGATCGACGGGAAGCGACGGGACGGACTGACGGCGTCCAATGTGAACACCAGGAACGGGAACGCAACCGTACTACCGTACAGATCGGGAAGCGACGGGAAGAGTTGGATCGATCCAACTTTTCATACCGTAGACGGGCGTAGACGGGGACGCAAGCGTACAAAACGGCTGCAATTCGAGTGTGAACAGGAGACGGCGTTGTGCGCCGACTACTCCCGATTCGTACTTGGACATTTTTAGTATTTCGAACACTGCGCTTCCCATGATAAGTCACAGAATGGCTAGCACGACTTGAGTTGAATTTTAGCAACATAAGATCTCATGTCACCTATTGTATTTAGGGATAGTTCAGAAGCGTGACAGACGAACTATTCTATCATTTCCTGGGGCTATTATTTGAATGCCACAACTTTCAGGGCTAATTTTTTGGTCTTCATGAAAAACTGGTATAGTGAACTTGATTCCGCTTCTTTCAAGGAGAAATATTTGAAGAGAAGTCCCGAAAAACGAGAACTTAGGTCCGAAAGTCAACCCGTCACGGACCGTGCCTTATGACTCGCGCCGTTCGACGTTGAACGTCGCAACGACTGCTGCATGTCGTGTCGTACCAATCGTACAGGATTTTACAGCTCACCCCAGCCCTCCCGACAAGCCCTTACGTCCCGTACCGTCGGCGTTGCGTCGAATGTGAACTAGGCTTAAAATTAGATACCCTATCCAAACAATCATTCCCATCAGAATCAATAATCTGACATAAGGTTGAGCGTAAATTTCGGGTAGAATTGCCGAAAGTGTACAATGACCACTGCTAACTTTGCGGATGTCCTTGTTAACCTTCTATTAGTATAAAGTCAAAATTTATGACCTCTTGTAGTCAGTGCTAGCGAAGAAGTACTAGTCTTGTACTAGTCTTGTACTAGTCTTGTACTAGTCTTGTACTGGGCTGAACTGAAGTTCTAGTTACTACACATCAACAGGTCCTCAGGCGCAACATCAAGTCGAATGAATCAGGTTTGTGAAGATGCTTAGCAGGTGTGTCACCTACATGTACGACTAAACCTCGGTCTTCTAGCTTTGCCTGGCTTCCGCAATACTTCTTGAAAATCTAGTACTTATAGTAGTTATCTGGTATAAACTTTGCTGTTGCCATTCATATTTTTATCAATACAGCAATAAAAAAGAACTAACTCTGCCGTCACCATTATGCATCAACGAAGTCAAATGTTTTCCATTATCGATTTTCATGTCACTATCATCAGTGGAATATCAAATACACCTACATATGAACAACATACTGTTACATGTATTTGCACAATACTGGGAACATGTATTTGCACAATACTGGGGACATGTATTTGCACAATACTGGGGACATGTATTTGCACAATACTGGGGACATGTATTGAACGGAGAACGGATCATCTCCTCACAGGATAATGCGTGCTCGAGAAGAAAGCCGACATAAAATACATTGTATTATAAAAGCCATCAACAACAACAACAACGAGGACGACGACGAAAACGACGCCAACGACGACGACAACGACGCCAACGACGACGACAACAGCAACAGCAACAGCAACAGCAACAGCAACAGCAACAGCAACAGCAACAGCAACAACAACAACAACAACAACAACAACAACAACAACAACAACAACAACAACAACAACAACAACAACAACAACAACAACATCAACAACAACAACAACAACAACAACAACAACAACAACAACAACTTCTCTTATTGGCCAGAGGCCATTGCGGGAATAAAAGATTTCAAACAGCAACAACAAAAACAAGTGGCTCTTTTTTTTCCACTGGCTATCGTGAGAATAAAGATTTCAAGCAACAACAACAACATGAACAACAACAACAATAACAACAACAACAACAACGTGCCATCGCACGGACGCTTCCATCATCCACCAGCGCGCATATGCCTCTCATCGCAGGCGTAACGCCCCGTCCATTCCTTGGCGGTTGCCTCAAACAACTGAGGATTAACCTGATGCATATCTCTTACTTCAGTGGTTAAGTGTGATCGACACGAATACGGATTTTCCAATAAACTTCTCAAAGTTTGAAGGAGAGTTCGCAAGTTGTACGGAGGTACCAAGCCAACATCCACAAGCCACTCTTTCAAACACCACGGGCATAATTTGCCACTTGATTCAACCATCGGATGAAAGATCTTAGTCTTGAAGGTAACGTCAGGCACTACGCTTGCGTAATCCACTCCATGCTCAACCTGTAGGTGAAACAAACCATATTTGTACGGGCTATTCTCTGGTCCCTGTATCATAACTCGCCAGTTAAGCAGATCCTCGCTCACTGGTCCGGCAAAAATATCGGCAAATGGGTTGTTGCGAAGATCTGCTGCTTCTTGCCTGAGGCGGTTGCTCGCTTCCATGACGCTTGTTACTGTTCTGCCTCGGATTGCCAGTAGTCGTGCTGAGACCTAAGTAAAAGAACATCAATCGCTGGAACATCAATCGCTGTACATGTACATGTACATGCATACTAGAGAAGGTTTCTACCGAGTACCGTCCTTTCACAATTATTATATACATATACTTGGTGAGGTGTACTTACAGTCACAAAGTCGTCAGTTGTGCTACAATCACCACCCATAGTGTGTAGATTAACACATCTATTATTATGATTATTCTTAGATTGACTGCATGAAACAAGGTGGAGGACAGTGTGTTCGGAAACAGTTTCATGCTGTCAATCTAAGAATATGTGTGAACTATAACAAGGTTTATCTACTATTAGTTTTGAACTAGTGTTGGCTAGCATGTACATGATTGCATAGTGTGTAACTTACACTCTTCTGCAATGTTGAGCTTTGTCAACTTGTCAACATGTCTACAGTGCATTCTGTCTTTGTTGGTGTGAATACTGTGATCGGGGACGGTTAACGGGTTAGGAGGAAACCTGATATTTTGCATTTTACATGTGCGTGAATACTTTGTATTCTTCGCCGTGTTGTGATGTATTCTGGGCCCTTCTTCAAACCCTGTTGACGTCAAAATGCCATTTAGCTCAATCCGTATTAGACTGTGTTCACAGCCATTTTAGCTCCAACCGTATTAGACTGTGTTCAAAGCCATTTTAGCTCATTTCTTCCTGTTGAGGTCACGTTTGTGTTTATTTTGCCCGTACAAGAAGTTTCAGACTTTGAAAAAAACAAAAAACCCACAGCGGCTGGGCCTGGGCTACAGACTCATTCTAGGTCCTAAACCCTTACGCTGCTCTATATGCAAATAGTGATCTTGCCCTCTCTCCCTCTTCGCCCCCTCTCTCTCTCATTCTCTCTCTCTCCCCCTCTTCCCCCTGCCTCTCTCTCTCTCTCTCTGTCTCTCTCTCTCTCTGTCTCTCTTTCTCTCTGTCTCTCTGTCTCTCTCTCTCTGTCTCTCTCTCTCTATGTCTCTCTCTGTCTCTGTCTCTCTGTCTCTCTCTCTCTCCCTCTCCTGTCAGAGGCCTCAGACTGGAAACTTCGTGCCGAGTCAGTTAGTGCAAAGAGTTCTTTCCCTAGCTGTGTTGCACTTAACACCCTAAGACCAGATTATGTTTCTGTACTCTACGAGTCGTAGGATCGTATTCTGGATGGACTTGACAGTTTGTGCTGAGGACAGATTCAGTGTCAGTAACTCGCGGAAGTAAAGGCGGTATGCGGATCTGGCCGATCAATGCCGAGAAAACGGGTGGCAGGTCGTTTCTTTTTGGGTTGAGGTAGGTGTGCGTGGTTCCATCCCGAAAGCGCTTGGGTTTTCTAATCGAGGAATAGAATTTTTTTGTAATTTATGCAGTAAGACATCTCTGCGAAGCAGCTACAGCATCTGGTTGCGACATTAACAAAAACACACGTAGAAAGATCCACTTTTCTGAGGTACTGTTTTGGGACTCCGTTTATAGAGGTGCGTTGAAATTTATTCTCTTTATCTTATCATCTTTCCAATCATTTCCCGACGTGAGTTCCTATGAGTTGCTGTGAACAACTTGAGTGGAGAGCGCTCGATCGAGCGTTGAACCCGGGTTCTTAATCCACCATTCCCAGTTCGCAAGGCTGGGCGAGGTTTTAAGGAGGCTTTCATTTCATCTTTTTCTATTATTTCTTATTATTTCTTCTTTTCGTCTTTTTAATTTAAAAAATTCTGCGCCTTTTTCTCCATCTGCGCATAAAATCTAGACTGACAGCCTGCTTGTTAAATCATGCACCTGCTTTAAGGTGTAAAAACCCTGTTGTAGAGGTCTCAGTCCTCAATTGTTAGACTTACCTGTCTTTTTAAAGGTAACTTACTCTCTCTCTCTCTCTCTCTCTCTCTCTCTCTCTCTCTCATCGGACTCCCTTTAGATCCTCAGCCCTCGCTCTAATCTATATGCAAAGAATGATCTTGCCTTCTCTCCCTCTCCTCTCTCTCTCTCTCTCTCTCTCTCTCTCTCTCTCTCTCTCTCTCTCTCTCTCTCTCTCTCTCTCTCTCTCTCTCTCTCTCTCTTTGCCCTCTATCTCTCTCCTTTATCTCTCCTTATCTCTCTCGCTATGTCTCTGTCTCCTTCCCTTCCTCTCTTTCTGCATCTATGTTTCTTTCTCTTTCTCTCACTGTCTCTCTTTTTTTCTCTCTCTCTTTCTCTCTGAGTCGCTCGCCGATTCTCTGTACCACCTCTGCAACACCAGGCCAGGAAATCGCCGGCATCTCCTTAATTTCTGTTTCCTCGTGTCCTGACATCACGTGATACTTGCGCATTTTCTTGTCGCGGTTCTGCATCTTTTTTGGTTTTCGGTGCTTGGTCCTGTCGCTGATCCCGAGACCCGTGATCGGTGGAGGCCCAATTCACCAGCACCCTGCTTCGGCTTCCCGCTTTATTGTCATGTCTTCCTTGGTCTCTGTCTTCCCATCCCGTTCTTTTCCTAGGTTTCTGTCTCCCCACTGCGTTCTCTGCTGGACTGTTACTGTGTGCCTCTGTGTAATAATAAAACAATTGACTTCAACACTCGTTAGTTACGTCCAATCGTTGTCTAGTTTTGCCGCACCACAAGTCACACTCGTTAGTTACGTCCAATTGTTGTCTAGTTTTGCCGCACCACAATTCACACTCGCTAGTTACGTCCAATTGTTGTCTAATTTTGCCGCACCACAATTCAAACTGGTTAGGTGCCCTCACACTCAGACCTCGCGAGGAGTGGAGAGACTTTTTATTGATGAAGGCCACAGTATGTTGGCATCTACCACTCCATCATGACTATTATTTCCCCGCATGGGTTTCGGTAGTCACCGACCATGCTGGCAATCACCGTAGTAAAGAATATTGTCCGTTGTGTTGTACCGTTAAAATGCATTCTTGCTTCTGCAGTATCATACAGCTGATCGTTTGGTTCTGGCATATGCGAAGATGTGAACATTGTTGACATCAATGCGAACATGCATATAATAATAATAATACACAGAGGCAATATGCTCTGGTTCTGCAAGAGTGCTCAATACCTGATTCAGGCAGAGCGGCGTACACAAAGGCACACAATGAAAACCTTGGCAAATTTATTCCGTTGTACAACGGAATAAATTTGCCAAGGTTTTCATTGTGTGCCTTTGTGTAATAATAATAATAATAATAATCTTCCTCTTTCCGCTCGTCATCCGCACGATCGTCATCACCACCATCATCCGCCTCGTCCTCTGTCTCTTCACAGACCGTTTCATCATCGAAAACCTTTTCCATCTTCTCCTCATCCGTCTCATTCTCCGTTTCCGTACAGACCACTTGTCTCCCATTTGCTAGCTGCTCGTCCGATGACCCGGCATTGTCCCTCCAGATCCGCTTCAATCACTGACAAAATGAAACTGCGCGAATCACCTTCTGTTGGTACAGTCCGCAACGCGCGGTGTGAGAGTTGGTGATACCAGCGCGGGTGTAGGTGGGCCAACCCCAGCCCCCGCCACCAGAAGAGCCGTTGGCGGTTCTTGTGGTGGCAAGGACAACGGTGGTGCTGATGGGAGGGGCAACTTGTGCGGCCTAGCTCTCTCACACGGCACTGCATTTTGTGTTGGCTCATTCTGTACCACTGACAAAGGGGATGGGTTCTTGCGTGATCGACCACGTTTCGGCCGCTTGAATTTAGATGCATCCAGCAGAATTTACAGCGGTACATGCTGTTTGATACGTGCGATCGGATGTTGAAGGGTCCTACCAACGTACCGGCTTCCACAACTCCGGCACTCAAATAATTATTGATAAACCAAATGGCTCAAAAGATGGAATGGTAGGACACCTTCCTCACCATCAAAAAATGATTACGTAATCTTGTGGCCTTTTTGTGCTTCCTCTGCTCTAGTGGTTTTATTGCATCTTAACTTCAGTTTCATTGGTTGGCATCCCTTAGTTCCATATTTTTCCCCACTGATGATTGGAACGAGAACATCGATTTTGGTTTTCAGTATTTATTGTTATAAAATGCACATACATGTTGAACTGGTAACGTACTCGCGTGATGAACAAACTGACTGTGAAAATGAAGACTCGAACCAGTGACCCTCGCTTGTAGCCAGCGATGTTCTTACCACTGAGCTATGGTCATGTAGTCGTCATCCCAGCAGAGGCATCCTCGCAGATCATTAAATTTTGTATATTTTTACTTGTTTATTGTTTCACGGAGAAGGCGGACAGCCATAACGAGTAACGTGCCGGTTTTCAATGAATTGTTTTGAGTGTTGCCTGCACAAGAGGTGGTTCTATGATCCAGAGCTGCATGGAGAAAAAAGTAAGCATACAGGCTAACAGGGTACGAGTACGCTACGTGGAAACCTAACGAGGACGACTAGCTAGATTTTTCAAGAACTAAAAACAACACCTTTCAAGAACTACTGGTACTTGACCAGCGGGTCCTAATCCGTGGGAAGTAGCGTAGTATGAAGCTGACTTGAACGTACAACTAATAGTAATACTAGCAATAGTTGAAGCGGAGCCAAGCTAGGAGTACATGTGTTAGTCGTAGGTGACACGCATGATCTGCACGTCCTTTACTATATTGAAACCTGTCATGCACGACGGCTTGTGTTTGCGATAATTACTGGAACAGGGTGCAAACGTGAATCTTACGACCTGATGTCAGTCAGCGGCACTGACTGACCGCGGGCGCCTGCTGCGTGCTGGCGCGTAGATCTACTGAGCACTTGGACTCGCTCAGTGTATGGTCTAGCTCTAATACTAACACTGTCATAGTACTCAGTAATAGTAGTACTAGTAGTAGTACTACTACTACTGGTTGATTGACGACAAGCAAGAGTCATAACCTGGTAATGTAGCATGATTTTACTCTTGCTACAAGAGATCATTTTTGATTTTTGCGAAGGCTAGCAAACACTTCGGTGAAGTAAGTTAGTTAGCGGTGGTCGTTTTGCACTGGCGACAATGCTACCCGAAATTTACTGTCACCCTGCTGTCAGATTATTGATTCTGATGGGAATAATTGTTTGGGAAGGGTATCTGATTTTCTATTTGTTGATGCAAGTCCACGAACATAGGGAGATAATTTCAGAAACGTGGGTAAAATACGCATTCATGAATATGTTCCAGGCGTGTAACATATTATCAAAACTTATAGGTGTCCCAATTCCTTGCTAGACGTGTCGTGGCCAGGAACAAGAGTGTGAGTGGATAACGAATGGAGGCCTCTGCAGTCTGGGTGGTCAAAGGTATCACCGTTTGATCGCAACGAGCCAATCAAGATGAAGCAACGCAGAAGGACATGGAGTGTCTGACGAACCATACACCAGTAGGAAACGACGCCGCAACAGTCGAGTGGATGGATGCTACATGTACATGTATGTCCAAGCAAAGGATTATGACTTACTTCTCTGGCAAGCTGCTGTCATTGGACCGCCAGGTAGCCTGTATTTAGAGACAGTTGATCTTTCCGTTGGAGATCCTCACATGGTGATCATACATTATGGCCAGCACTATATTATTTACGATAATTATGTATAATTATGTGAGTGTGATTAGGTATGACAAACTGCTGCCATAATGTGAGACAATTCCCCGCCACTTGCTCTATATCATTCTTATTTTCGCTAGAATACTCGCTCGTTTTCTCAACTAGTAGTCGAGTCCTCGATTTTGGCACTCGTTTCACCCCTACATTAGGCTACAATGTACATGTATGTGATAATAATACTATGATATCAGGAGTATGATAGCAGGAGTAGTAACCGCGTGAATGTATGCAGGGACAGGCTATTTTCAGAGGTAGATGCGGTTGGTGCAGGTCTAGCACCAGTAAGCACACGCTAAATCTCCCCTATATGTATACTAAGTACATGTAGAGCTGAGAAATCGATCAGAGAGCGCTTTCGACGTCATGTATCACCATCTCCTTCATCCATGATCGCTGTAGTTCTACTTCTGTCTGTTGAACATACTTGTACACGCAAGAATAAGGCCCGAGACTTCAACGTCAAGGGCAAAGCCAATGGTAATGTTTTAAAATGGCAATAAATAAGATAAATTGTGCAATCATAACAACAGCAAAAATGAAGAAAGTCAAGTTCCATTACGTTTTCTTGTGACTGTCATCAGTGGAACGCCGTCACATAAAAATGTAATAACTAAAACACACACTTATATACATGTACATGTAGCTAATATAGTTTCAGGTAGAAATACAGCAGCTAACAAGTACAAAAAGCGAAGTTTGCACCTTTGCAATGTGTGAATATAGTGTATGTGAGAAAGGTAGTGGCAGATGAATGTGATACTGTGTGAATGAATGTAATGGTGCGTGTGTATTACTTGAAGAGTGTGAGTGATACAACGTTTTCTTTCTGTTTACATAGCACAGGGTCACGAGTACGAATATACACAGCTTCCAACACCTGCAATTGCTTGAAGAAACGTGCGCAACGAATAACACTAAACCAGGAATCGTCAAACACCTTACGACATTCTGGACTGGACACCAAATGCTTGTACACTGCAGACTTCCTCTTGTCAACATCAAACTCCTCCTCATCACTACTCTCATCCTCCACCTCCATTCCAATGCCGCCGTCCATCCCATCGCACTCGTATTCGTCGTCATCAGTCTCCATCTCCTCGCGACACCGCTTCCCTCTCCTTGATTCGTTCTGTGCCGTGCCTGTGCTTCCTCCTGCGTCTCATTGCCTTGTGTTCTCCACTTGTCTCAGTCGTACCTCTGGTAGTCTCTTGCTTCTTCTCGGTTCTGCTCTGTTTTCAAGTTGTTCGCCTTCCGCTCTTACCGTTGTAGCAACATGGTTTGTCGAGGAGCGACCATCCGGCGGCCTCCCTTGCCGTGGTCCTGTTTCCGAGGGGGGAACCAGATTAGTCTGCTCGTTCTCCATGGAAGTAGTCTGTTTCCGAATTGTGAGCCGTGCTAGGTGTAGAAATAGCACAGAACGAATCAAGGAGAGGGAAGCGGTGTCGCGAGGAGATGGAGACTGAAGACGGCGAATACGAGTGCGATGGAATGGACGGCGGCAATAGATTGATATTTACAATGACCTCCAGACAGCTGTTTCGCTTCTCCTGAGCTCATCAGTGGAGGCATATGATGTTGATTGAAAGAATATTAAAAATTAGCAGCACCACCGGCCAGCTTTGCCTGGCCGAATGTGGCATGCGGGTGAAGCAAGTACATGAACAGCACACGTGCTCAGCACGTGGTGGTGGCCAGACCGCTGAAGTCCTGGTGAGGGAGGTTCTTCATCGTTGGAAGGAGAAGGAGGGACGTCTGTTACGCCTTCGGGAGGCTGGTCAGGGTTGTCCATCATATCACCTGGTGGCGGATGAAGCGGCTCAAAAAATTCATAAACTTACGAACAAAAGTGCGATGCGCGCGCTCTTCACTGCAGATCAGATGCAGGGTGCAGTCAGTGCAGATCTTTTGTATCCTTTTGTTGCAGATGTTTCTATTTGCAGAGAACGGTTCACGTGGTCCGCAGCGCTTGTGCGGCTGCTAGTGCTACCTATACTATAGCCTATGGCCTAGGCTAGGTGGCTACATGATTCGCACGCTTCGCGTGCTCAGTGCTTCTGCGCGCGGCTGCTAATACTGCTACTCGTACTGATCGTGTCTGCTACCACCTACACTGTTCGCACGCTTCGCGTGCTCAGCACGTGGTGGTGGCTACACGATTCCCACGCTCGCGCTTCGCGTGCTCAGTGCTCCTGTGGCTGCTTCCGCTAGCTACAAGATTCGTACGCTTCGCGTGCTCAGGGCTTCTGCGGCCGCTAGCTACACTGTCTGTGCTACACTGTTCGCAAGCTTCGCGTGCTCAGGGCAGCGTGACACAAAAACACACGTCACAGGTGCCTCTTCTTTATAAGGAGCGTGACACACACACACACACACACACACACACACACACACAGACACACGTCACAGGTGCCTCTTCTTTATAAGTAAAGATAGATTGATCCTTATAGGGCTAAATTGGCGCAATTGCGCTCATTCTGCATAGAAACGTGGCATACACTAAGTGACAAAAATGATAACAAGGTCAGGTGATAACGACAAGCACTCATGGCTGGGACATGTACATGAAGCACATGTGAAAAAAGGGGGGACGGAAAAACAGCAGTCAGTCTAACACCAGAAAAGTAACTAGTTATTGCATGTGCCACAAAACAAAGATACTGCGGCTGACTGTACTTGTCCCATAGTGACGTGACGGAGAACGGACAACGAAGCGAACTGGCACACGCGCGCTGCAGACCAAGACTCAGTTGCCAAGACTCTGGCAAGAGGCCCCTGAGGCAATCACTGTCCTGCCAGCCCGTCGCACACAGTCAGTCACACCACGCCGCCATATCCGTTGAACACGTACACTGATATGATGTAGCCTGCGCCTTCAGTCAGCATCTGATTGCATCCCTTTTTCATCAGCTGATTGCAAGTGCCACGTGTGTTTGGAAGCGCTGCGTGCACGTGTTTGAAGTCTTTGCCTACTAGTAGTAGTACTACAGACAGTACAGTAGTGTAGTACATCATGTCATTGTACGTAGTAACCGTGGTGGAACGGCCATGCCAGCCAGCATCTACTACATGTATACACGTAGCACTACTACTGGTCGAATCAATCCCACACTCCACAGCACATACAGTGTACCTGGAAACAAGTACAATAAAATTTGAACACTGGAAAATTCGCTGTTACACGTACTTCCAGTACATCTTCCTCTCTTGTGTTTTGTCATTGTTACTATTACTATTTGACTATTAGCCCCGCGTCGCCAGGATCACTGCATTACCGAGTCATTACCACCATCAGGTACTAATGATACTCGCCAATTTCTTTCGCAGCATTATCAGAGTGGTTACTTTGCTGGCTAGGAGAATACGGTGTTTGTACAGGCGGTGTCTATCTTCGTGCACACGTAGACGGCGTCAAGACGGGTTAGACATGGCGGATGGAGCATGGATTAGTGCAGAAACTGAAGACGAAAATTATGATCAAGCCTTGGTATTGGGAAGGAAGAACATCAGAAATGAGTTTGAGAGGCTGGAAAGGAATCCACCAGATGGATGCTACATCAAAGCAAATCATGATGATGATTTCCTTTACTGGGAAGCTACTGTCTTTGGACCGAAAGGTAGCCCGTATGAAGGTGGTGTCTTTGACATAACCCTGAAATGCATAGACGAGAATCCCTTCGTGTTGCCCGACGTGACTTTCATCACCAAGATTTACCATCCGATCGTCAAGCGACATAGCAAGATATGCGAGTTGTGTTTGTTGAGGAATGTCGATGCTCATAATTCGGGCCCTTGGCATAACAGTATGGTTAGCTTATTTGAAACGATTCAAAATTTATTGAATGACCCGTACTCGTGTCTCTCACACGTAACTGGAGAGGTAGGAAACGCGCACCAGATTGATCCTGATTTGTTTGCCCAAACAGCAAAGGAATGGACAAGAAGGTATGCACAAGAATACAGGCAGCAACAAGCCGGTGGATGATTGGGGTGCGTGCGTGCATGCGTGCGTGCATGTGTGTTTACATGTGTGATTATGTGCTTGTGCAAGCATGAGTATATTACTTTACGTTGTGTGTTTGTCTTTTACATGTGCATGTGCATTCACATGTATGATTGTGTAGGCATGTGTGTGTGTGTTGTAGTTTTCATGGTTTCTCTGTTTTTTCACATCTACGTGTGTATAGACTTTTAATCTTGCAAGTAAAATAGGCCCTAAACCCCAGGCAGAAAATGTCATGTACATGTACGTGACATTGCACAGGGTCATATTTGATGTACTTGACTTTGTGAGGTACAAAAGTAATGTCAAAACCAGGGTGTCTTCATGTGTGGTACGTCATTGTCATATAACAGAGAGGTTCCAGGCGGTCACATGTAGTCTGCATCATGCATGTGCATGCATGTAAGGTTTAGAATGCTTTAACATGTCGATTCAGCTGAATCTGTTCATTGCCATCATAAAACAAAATAAAATAAAACTGCGCTCACCTTCCCCTCCCTATGTTATTTCTATAACTTTGAACCTTCCAAGTTGGAATGCTGTTGGAGTGCGCGTCCAATAATATTATGTGCAAGAGCTGTATGCCAGTTTGTTACAGAACGTCAGTACCGTGGGTCAGTGTCGTCCCATGTTATTGCATGAGCTGATTGTTTAGTAACGGGTGGTGTTAATGGACAGTATAGCGTAAGTTAACTTGTAGTTCCTTGGTCTTATCTCTTACATGTATGTATAAAATAAAATAAGGCTTGGAGTGTTTTAAACATGAATATGGACGGACTTGCCCCTTCTGTTCATGTATTGCCCCACTCTAGTCACGGTTCATGAATCCGCCCAGTCCACATTCCTTTTCTGTTTCTCTCCGTTTTTGTTTCCTTTCAGTTGCACCTTCCTTTCTGCTCGGTTTTAGTTTCTCTTTTCGTTCGTCCCTCTTGATATTTGTACTTTGTACTGTTGAGGCAACTAACTGAAAGAATAAAAACCAACCAACAAACGATGTGTGTATGCATTACATTGTGTTTGTCTATACAGCATCGAGAGTAGACAACAAGAGTGTGCAACTCCGGATCTCTTCTGCACAATCTACAGATACCCCCGACCGTGGCGGAACTTTTGGTAATGTCACAGGGCAGTGTGAGAGCACGTGCTGGGCACCGACCTTGCAATGTAAAGCCCTGCCAAGTGCAGAAGGAAAACCTTTCCTAAAGACTCGCAGCGCGTGCGTCGTCGAAAAGATCACGTTCACAAAAAATTCCGCCCCAGGCCAACACATCCCCTAGTTGCACACTCTTGTTGATCTACTCTTGATCGCATGTATGTGTAGGGCCGTGTGCTTGCAAGGCATTTCACACCCAGTTTACCTACTAATGTATTCTCGTATCAATTTTCTGAAGTACAACGCGCATACAGCAACGCCACTACCAAGTCTTTCTCTACCTTTCCTCAGGAGTTCGTGTTAAATACAATCATCAGACAGCACCACCCACTCACTACATGTATACGCAGCCTGAGCATCTTAGACAGCTGTCTATCTTTTAATTAAGGCAGATTATTCATGGCAAAATATGGGCACAAGTTATGCACACTTTTCCATGCTACATATGTTTCCCTGCCTCTACATCGGTGTTCTTAATTAAAACGTACCTACCTAAATTAAGGTGGCAGCCTGGTCGTAAATTTCATATGGCATTCGATTAACTATAACTTTGGTGTCTCTCAATGGATTTGATTGACAATTGCAATACCCACTCCTGCCACTATGCTGGGGCCTCTGGACATGATTTAAAAGGTCTTGCGCCTCACTGACAGGTAGGCATCGGCGGCTAATGCTAGCATTATACCTAGCATTATATGGGTGTGTTTTGAAGAAGTAGCAGTGCGCGGCATTAGGTGGCATGCTTTTGGCTGAAGAAAGCATTATCAGTTCTATTTTGGTACAATACAAGACTTTTTACACGTCTTTTCACATGACAAGAGGCTTGTACAGACAGTGTACGGACACTCTTGCAGCAGGTACATGTATGATGGATCTGTCAAGTGTGGTCATGCATATACAACTACACTTCCTTATCTCAGTATGAGCCAATTGTGGATACATTTCTTTTCCATGTGCATATTTGCCCAAGATGTACATATCACTCTAGCAATAGTGTGAATGGAGCATTATAACAGGCATTATGCCGTGAAATATCGAGCACTGCCAAAAGCATTATACTGTGAAAAACGAGCATTAGCCGCCGATGCCTACTGACAGGCTTTCCAGGCCGGAAAAACTCAAAGTTCCGGCATAGTGCCACGGTGTGTGAGCCACCCAGGAGCCAAAATAATGCATTTGCAATTTTTCACATTTTCTTGCACATTCTGTCCGTGCGCGGGATCCAAACCTAAAAAAAGTCCAGACAGAAGCAGCCAAGGTTGGTGGGATAAGGCCCTTCAACGTGGCCCTGGAATCTGTCACAACGGCGGGAGTGGGCGTTCTGTCACAGACTCCCACAGACCCAAGTAAAGTTTTGAATTATTTTAGGTTTAGGACGTGTAACGAGGTCGTACCTTTGATACAACATACAATGCTGGGACTTCCACAGCAAGCCATTTCCACAGCGCTGCAAACCAAATCCATGATACCCTCAAAAATCGGCCAAGACTACCACTCACTATTCACTACTGCCTAGTACTGAATCCTATCTGACTTCTTGACACGACTCAAACTTGCCAAACAAACTAAATCAGCGTCAACTACAAGAATCAAGCTACATATCTGCAACGTAACGGGGGTGCTGGGAAAAGTCCTGCTACACGTACCGATTTTGTGGCATAATGATTATATTTATATTTATATTTATAGCCATTTGACGTCTCCATACATGTTCAATCATGCATACATTGTATGCTAACGTTCCACTCCTGCCTAGTACTGAATCCTACCTGACTTCTTGCCAAAGTTAAGTCAAAATCAACGTCAACTACAATAATCAAGTCACATATCTGCAACGTCACGAGGGTGCTGGCAAAAATCCTGCCGTGCAGCCCAATACATGGCTAAAACGTGATTTTTTAGACTTCACACACGGTCTGCTCACATTCAAATACAGTGCTGCCAAAAATGACAGCATGCAACAAAAAATCTTTCCTCGCAAGGGCACAGTTTCGGCCATAACACTTGAGCGGCTGGTCAGATCGAGACAAAATTTTCAGAGAGCATGTCTGAGAATACCAAAGTATGTGCGCAAGTGGATCTCTCCGACTTCGCTCAAAATTTGCAGGTAGGTTGCCTTTGGGGTGTGGATCGATTGGGCAAAGCCCTTGAAAAAGTTTCTGAAGGGAACCTTGAAATTTGCATACCCCTCAAAAATTGCCGAAATATCACATTATTTATGGGTCTAGAAACGAGCACACCACAGCGTATACGAACAAGCTATGAACAAAACTCCATCAAGCCAACATTGCCTCACCTTAGAAGAGTTCCTGGAGCAGTACCGCTTAGCCACGCCAGCATCCCAGAAGACGAGGTCCATCATCCCCTGACGCCACAAATGATCGTCTTGAAAATAGCCAATTTACAAGCGCTGGCAAAACAGCCAGCTACGTCCTCAATTGGTCAGAACTATACACCGGCAGATAGTAGAACACCTCTTCCAGCGCTGAGGACATGTCCCCCATCTTCCTTTTGGGGTTTTCTTGAAATAAACTTTTTTGAATTTTTCCACTCGACCATGCTGAAATACGGCCAAAGTCATACCTGCGCAGGAAAGCTCGCCACTCCGCGACGTCTCCTCAGCAATTTCTACTCCAACACTACTCCCAAGGCCGCAGAACAAAGTGTAGTGTTGACTCTGACAAGGAAAAGCAGCGGTGATCACTTGTCACTCCAAACGACAAGCTTCTCCTTGCGCCACCAATAATTTTTTGTGCGACTGTTGATGCAAAAGTGACTGAAGGCCTAGCGAGCGCAGTTTTTGAATTTTTTTGCAAGATGCACGGTGAGATCGCGTGCTCTATGACGTAGGATGACGCTTCCTGCATCACGATACGCGGCCATCGATCGCGAATGTGCCTGGAACGCTACTCGGAACAGACCATGATGGCAGAGGTAAGATGAGCTTCATTTCCTGCTTGAAATGCTGAGAGCCCCCACTAACTGTCCTCGGAGTGTTGCAATGGCAGCAAGCCGTTGAAATATGCCCCGTACAGCATGGAGAGTTATTCGTCTTTCTCACTTACCTCCTGCAATCCCGAACATAGTCCAACAGTAAAAGTCCCTTGTTTTCATGTCGATGCTCGACAAAAGCGGCTAGCTCGGTCCCTTTGTGTTGGCACGCGAGCAGCACTGGCTGCACGCACTTGTCGCGTGAACTGCATGAGAGATTTCTTACGTCATAAAGAATGTGATTTCATCATCATTTCATTGGTCTTCGACCTACATGGTCAGGGAAAGTCCCGGGTCGTAGGTCTACAACACGTCGGTCAGCGTGTTCTTGAGCGCAGTAACCATGGTAACAACACAAGTGTAATCACTTCCAGACCGACGGGCGTTCAAGGCGAGTAACAAGCGCACTTGACAAAGGTGACTCTGAAATCTCGTGAGCCGTGGGCCACGCGACTTGGCATTCTTGCGTCACAAGGCACGTGATTTCACCGTGCATCTTGCAATAAAATTCAAAAACTGCGCTCAGGCCTTCAGTCACTTTTGCATCAACAGTCGCGCAAAAAATTATTGGTGGCGCAAGGAGAAGCTTGTCGTTTGGAGTGACAAGTGATCACCGCTGCTTTTCCTTGTCAGAGTCAACACTACACTTTGTTCTGCGGCCTTGGGAGTGGTGTTGGAGTAGAAATTGCTGAGGAGACGTCGCGGAGGGGCGAGCTTTCCTGCGCAGGTATGACTTTGGCCATATTTCAGCATGGTCGAGTGGAAAAATTCAAAAAAGTTTATTTCAAGAAAACCTCAAAAGGAAGATGGGGGACATGTCCTCAGCGCTGGAAGAGGTGTTCTACTATCTGCCGGTGTATAGTTCTGGCCAATTGAGGACGTAGCTGGCTGTTTTGCCAGTGCTTGTAAATTGGCTATTTTCAAGACGATCATTTGTGGCGTCAGGGGGTGATGGACCTCGTCTTCTGGGATGCTGGCGTGGCTAAGCGGTACTGCTCCAGGAACTCTTCTAAGGTGAGGCAATGTTGGCTTGATGGAGTTCTGTTCATAGCTTGTTCGTATACGCTGTGGCGTGACTCGTTTCTAGAACCATAAATAATGTGATATTTCGGCCATTTTTGAGGGGTATGCAAATTTCAAGGTTCCCTTCAGAAACTTTTTCAAGGGCTTTGCCCAATCGATCCACACCCCAAAGGGAACCTACCTGCAAATTGTGAGCGAAATCGGAGAGATCCACTTGCACACATACTTTGGTATTCTCAGACATGCTCTCTTCAGAGATTTTGCAGCTGTTCATGCTCTGTCAACTGATAAAGCACTCGATATGAATTTACAAATTCAATTTTTAGGGGGTTTACGACCAGGCTACCTTACCCCTTAAGGTTGACCAAAGCTCTGGAAATGTTCAGCTTGACTTGCAATAACTCTCGTGGCATTGTTTTACCGTTTTATAAGCTATCGTATTATCATTATTATTATACGCATTTCCGCGTTGAAGTGTAGCAGCAGTATGCTGCTTCCACAGCTTCGCTTATGCAGAATGACTTGGGTGAGAGGAGAGGGGAGAAAAAGCAACAAGGCAACCAACATCTATGAAATAGGTCACAATAACATGAAGTCGAAGAGAATCAACCTACATATGCATGATTGCACAAGAATGAAGACGACGAATGGCTATAATCAGTGTGCCACAAAACCGGTACACAGGAGATCTGTCGACAATGTAAAGAAACATAAAACTCAGTTACTCAATACAGGTTCCACTAAAGTACAAGAGAACAACGCTTCACAATTAGAATTAGGGGTGAAACAATAATACCGAATACTCGAGTACTCGCTCGGGTTTTTTCAGAAATAATCCTACTCGGAACGAGAGAGCTTGGAAACTCAGGGCCCTACGCTATGCTTTTTTTGCCTTGATGACCTAGACCAAAAAAACATAGGGATGTTATAAATTCTTTAAAAAAAATCCTTTTTTAAAGACATAACCTGGGATTCGAACCTGCACTATCGCGCGCCCTGCATGCATCCCCCGATACACTTCGCATACATTTGTTTGTTTGTGTGTTTGTTTGTTTGTTTGTGTCACGCCTGGCGCTATCCGTATCTGACGGCAAAAAAGCATAGGATGTTATGAATTTTTCAATTCTCCTATTTTTCAGGCATATCCTGGGATTCGAACCGGCACTATCGCCCTACATGCATTCCCCCATACATTTCGCATTCATACCCATTCTTCCAAGTTGTTTCACATTGTGATCTTGCATAATTATGAAAGCCCTATTTGAATATGAATTGTGGCCAGCCGTCTTTGATGGCACGGTACGGTAGGGGATAGGTACGGGACAGGTACGATCGAGGGTAATACGACACCGTCTCCCGTACCGTACCATCAAACACAGCTAGCTGGCCACATACAGCTGCCCGCAATATTCAAATAGGGCTTTCAAACGCAAGATAATAACGTGAAGCAACTTGGAAGAATGGGTATGAATGCGAAGTGTATGGGGGGGGGGGATGCATGTAGGGCGATATTGCGGGTTCGAATCCCAGGATATGCCTGAAAAAAAATAGGAGAATTAAAAATTTTATAACATCCTTTGCTTTTTTGCCGTCACGGATAGCGCCAGGCGTGACACAAACAAACAAATACCAAATTAAAGCTGTGTGGACCCTGGCTAGCGCCAGACGTTACTGAAGTAACGTCTTCTGCATAGCTACGGGAATAAATCAGAGTACTCGTTCATCCGAGGTACATGCATTTACCACATAAATCTGCAGTTTCAGAGCAGCATTTGGCAGATATTGATGTGCAGACTGTCTGGTGAACATTTGTTCATGAGTAAAGAGAGCCCAAATGACCCAGCAACCAATGTAATAGAGAAAAATGACTGCCACTCGGTTCAATCAGGGTTCTATCATGTGATTTTAAGGCCCTCGGTGTGCAATTTTTAGGAGATGAAGAATACTCGAATACTCGAATAATTGATCGGAGAAAATCAGAGTACTCGAATTTCGGGATCTCAATGCCAACTTTCACCCCTAATTAGAATTACCGAGAACGAGTCCAATACAAATGAAAACCATGAACAGACTGTCCTGAAGTTATTTTGGGTACAAATTGTACTACATGTACATATACTTGCTGACACTGAGCTTAATACAAAGACAAAATGCGACTTAGACGAATGAGATTGAGTTTATTCAGAGACTTCTTAGCTCGTGTCATTGTCACTTGATGATACGCTGACTCCGCATCGCCAGCAGTCGGTGCTTTCTTTAGCTTCTTGTCAGCTGCAGTGATGATCCGACAGGGGACTTTGGCTACGTCCTCTTCATCTTCAGAGCTGTGTGCGTCTCGGTGTCGACTATATTCTGTCGTTTCCACCCGCGACCTCAAATATACAGTGATACGGGTCGTACAAGCACATCCGTACGCTTTGCATTTTCTCTGCAGGGTACTCCTTCCAGCATTCTACAACGGCTTCGAGGAGGTCCCTGCGATTCCCCTTGCCGACAAAAGGGGACGTCCAACTGGAGAGAAGCGAACAAAGCCAGGTTGTCAACATTCCGATCCGATGTCTGCCTGATTGCACAACGACTGAAATGTGTCATTTTGCTGTGACTGTGAGCGGATCAGCTTCATGTTCTCATGCTCCGTATAAGGCCGCGCGCCGTCGTGCTGTAAGAACAGAGAAAACTAGTCTTCACTTCAGGGCATTGAGTGACCATGGTGACGCGTGACTCCTCGTTCCAGCCGCGAGCGTCGCTGCGTTATACTGTGTCAGTTTCGAGGAAGAAAGTGACGTCAGTTTTATACTTGACTGGTGTGTTGCTGTCGGCAATGGCCCCACATGCATTGCTTCCTTGGAGAATCTGCTCGGGATCAACCAAACTAACACATACTACTGACCTCCACATGAATGTGGCCTAGCCTGTCGATGACAACCTTTACTTTAGCGCGGTTCGTTGAGCGGGTTCTTGCTAAAAACACCGTTGAAGAAAAGTTCATGAAGCTTTTCTAAACAAAGGAAGTAGACGGAGACACTGCGTTGAACACAGTGCTCCTGACAAATGACAAAAATAATGGTCGCTAGACCTTGATCTGGGCACCGCCCACCACCATCATGGTCATTGTATGCACAGTAGACTGTCATGTACATGACATGTACATGACCTGTACCATTCGGTCATGCTAACAAAAACAGTACAATGCACTGCACAGACAATAGTGTGCCGCAGTGCTAGCCTGGGTATACCGGTACACAGGCTGCACTGCAGACAATAGTGTGCCCCCAGTGTAGGCTGGGTTAGAGGGTACACAGGCTGCACTGAGCTAGCTGAGACTAGTAACCCCGCCTCACTCGGGGCTCGGATATTTGTGCAAGTCATCTATTGCAGCTCCACTGTACTAGCCGCCAGACATAAGGAAGAACCCCGTAGAAAATAACACCCATGATGCCCCAAACTCTCGGGAAACGGCTGAAGTCTTCCTGCAGACTTGTTAGTATTAGTTACCGCAATCTAAGTGCACTTGACAGCCATTAGCCGCGTACATTGCAGGCGGACACACTGTGTTGAACACAGCGCTCCTGACAAAATTAATGACAAAACTAATAGTCCCGAGACCTTGGGCTGGGCTCTACCAACGGCGATGAGGATTGTAGTCAGCAGCACTGTTTTGAAGGCAGAAAAAGAAAGGTACGCCTTCGCCATCACTTCAGACGTTCTAGTAAGGCAGTAGGGTTGAGAGCGCCTGGTTCTTTCTTGCTCCGCACTATCACTATCAGAGTGGTTACTGTCTTGCCTAGGAGAATAAGGTGTTTGTACAGGCGGTGTCCATCTTCGTGTATACGTAGACAGGCTCAAGTCGGGTTGGACATGGCGGAAGGAGGATGGCGTATTGCAGAAACTCAAGAAGAGGTATGGGCAAGAGCCTGGGACAAGGAGCTCGGGAAGAAACACGTCAGAAATGAATATGAGAGGTTGGAAAGGAATCCACCAGATGGATGCTACGTCCAAGCAATTGATGAGAACTCGCTTCACTGGCAAGCTACTGTCGTTGGCCCACCAAGTAGCGTTTATGAAGGTGGTGTCTTTCACATTACGCTCAAATATAAAGACGAGGATCCGTTTGTGTGGCCCGAAGTGACTTTCATCACCAAGATCTACCATCCACTGATAGTCAACGAAAATGGCAAGATATGCGAGCGGTGTCTGTCCACGATGCCTGGTGCTGATATATGGTACCCCTGGAATAGAACCATTGTTCGCTTATTTGAAACGCTACAAATGATATTAAATAATCCCTATCGTTGCCACCGGCACCCAACAGGAATAGTCGGAAACCGGCACAAGACCCAACCTGATAGTTTTGCCCGAACAGCAAGGCAATGGACGAGAAGGTATGCCAAAGTATACAAGCAGCAACAAGGCGGTGGATGATTGGAGTCAGTGAGTGGCTGACCGAGTGTTTGCATGTGTTTGACTATTACAAGTACGTGCATGCGTGTGTCTACATTACATTACTTGTTTGTGTGTTTGTCTATAACATGTATTTGTGTAGCATTGTGAGCTTTTAAGGCATTTAACACTTAGTTTGCGTACTTTGTACAATGTATTCTCGGTACTCAACAGTATCAGTCGTGTGCTGCCTACTGTTTACCACTGAGGTTTGTTCGAACTTTATTCATTCACCGAGCGCTGTTTGCTTTGTCCTAACGCTGGTAACATATCAGGCTATTTTCTACAATATTATTTCTGTTTCCATTCGCCTCAATGACTTGTAATTGGGCGATACCGCCCGTTTGGTTCTGTGAATTTACATTAAAAAACGTACCTGCCTACCTACCTTCAGCCTTCTAAGGCAGGTTACTAAAGTGTGCGAATGTACAGTGCACAAGCGTCTGTACAACCATTTGGATCCTTACCTTCCCTTACTATCAGTCAGGCTTTCGGCGAGGTGATGGCACAGAGTTGTAGCTCTCCAGAATCATCAACGAGATCTCTGCCAAAGGGGACGATGGCGAGTCAGCTTTTGCCTGTATGTTCGACAACAGGAAAGCGTTCCACCGATTTTGGCATGATGCTTTCATAGCGAAGTTGGAGCACTGTGGGATATCTGATGCTGCCCCTTCCCCCCCCCCCCCTCTCAGTGTTACCCAATCTTTCTGCCAGGAGTCGACATCGTGAAAAAATAAATAATAACAATTATAATAGAGTACAGAGACATTCGACGTCCTGACACCTAGCTTCAACACATCTCCGTAGCGCTAACCGACAGCCTTCCAACTTGGAAGGTTCAAGGTTATGGAAAGACCAAAGAGGGGAACTTTACTTATCTTTGATATTTATGACCCATACAAGTAGGGTGGTGTGCTGCTTTGCTGCTTCGAATTGTAGTTAGACTGCTTTGTCAAATATCGTACTGGTCTCGTCATCGTCCAATTATAATAGATGTAGGAAAGAAAAAGGACATATGGAAACGAGTTAAGATTAGCTCTCCACCACTGTAACTAGATACTATTATACAGTCAGAAAGTGCAACAACTAGGCACACAACTGACAGAGTAGTGAGATATTCGACGTCCTGACACCTAGCTTCAACACATTGCTACGGAGATGGAGATGTGTTGAAGCTAGGGGTCAGGACGTCGAATGTCTCACTATTCTGTCAGTTTTGTGCCTAGTTGTTGCACTCTGCCTGTATAAATAGTATCTACTTACAGTGGTGGAGAGTTACTCTTAACTCGTTTCCAGATGTCCTCTTCCTCTTAATAATAGAAATGCGAATAGGAGAAACTTCAAAATCAAGATGAACACTCAGGGGAAGTGAACTGCCTGAAAAGAGAGAAAACATACCAGACCCCACAGGACTGGAAACCGAGACCTGGCTTGTCATGAGCAATGCTCAATCCAACTGAGCAACATGTATGACACCAGGCCCAGCCTAGAACTAAGTTACATGTAGAAGGCATTGACAACTAAGAGTGAAAATCATTATCAGTTCTGTTAGTTGTTCACGCCAAAATGCCCACAACACGTGCCACACATACTGATGGCACTTGGGGCTTTTGCCTACCCCGCCCGGGGGACCAACCAGGGTCAGTTTCTGGAACGGCCTGGTCACACAATGATGGTTGTACGTCATTGGGGGTAATTAAAGGGATAAGATGCTGATCAGTTGACACGGTGGACAAGAAGCGGCAACTACTACATACCAGAATGATGGGGTCGGCTCGAGATGACATGGTAACCGCGGACGTGTTGTCATCCGTGACTTGCTCTTGTACGATTCGGAGTCGCATGCACCCAAATGCAAGTCGCAAACTCAAAAAGATCGTCATTGCATTTGGACAATCAACCCTCCTAGGGTCTTCAGTGCCAAAGGCAGACGACTGCATTTCCCCAACGTTCATTTCACGACGCTATAAACAATAATCGTGTTCACACAGAATTCCTTGGACCATTTGGTCATCCCTATTTTAAAACAGCAGATCTACCAAACAAGACAATAACAGATTTGTTTATACGCAGCATCGGGCGTAATTATTATTATTATTATGAAATGACCCAAAGGCAATGTGCCTATCGAGGGGTTCATTTGATTGAAAGAACAGTAGATGTAGATGTATGTACAAAGAGAAGTAGGGATTGATGAGGAGAGAAATGGGGAAAATCAACTGCAAGGTGGCGGAATTCCGTTGATTGCATAAGCATAGTCAGCTGTAAATTTCCTGAGGGCAGCTTTGAAATTATAGAGCGAGGCTTCCGATGTTAGACTGGGGGGTAAACAGTTCCATAGAATAGCAGTTCGGAACATGAAGAGAGACTTAGACAATGATTTAATGAAAGCCTCCTAAGTCCACAAGCACAGCCATTGGCACATCTATTGACTAACCGCCGTGACAAAATTGTCATTGGTGTACCTTCTTGAAGGGTGAAAGTTACCAGTCTTCCTATAACAGTGTTTATGTAGGCCCCTAGTACCCCCCCCCCCCACACACACACACAAACACGCACACACACACACACATACACACACACGCACACACACACACACACACACACACACGCAACCAGCATGAAATACATGTACATGTACCATTCAATTAACTCCAGGATGCGAACTAAAGCGGACTGAAGGAAATCATCACCATCCAGGCTCACAAGCTACCTGACTCGCTGCCGACAAGGCGTCAAGGTCGGCTCCGCTTTGTCATCATGGAAATCCATTCCAGCTGGAGTACCCCAGGGCTCTGTCCTGGGGCCTCTTCTTTTTCTAGTGTACACGATCGACCTCCCCCCAGCATTTACGAACTCCCACACCAAATGCAGCCAGTTCGCGGATGACACGCCACTCATCGCGTTGGATTACACGAGGGATTTGTCAGCTGCATTCCTCCAACGTGTCGTGGACGCAGCAGGACCATGTTTGAAGGATTGGCATCTCCTCGTCAACACCACGAAAACCGTCGTTCTTTCCTTCCACCCCAACACATCATCCACATCACGCTCCACTCGACTCGTCTGCAGCAGGTCCCTCAACAAAGGCACCTTGGTGTCACACTCCAAGACGATATGCGATGGACCCAATACATCATAGAAACCACCAACAAAGCCAAAAACTACCACACCAACTCCACAACACACGTGGCACAATGAACGTTTCCAGCCTGTTGTTAATATACACGACCTACATCCGATCCGTTCTCGAATATGGCAGTATTGCCCTCTCCAACACCACACAGCAACAGCGGGACACACTGGAGAGAATTCAACGCCGTGCTATACGCATCTGCCTTCGGATTCCCCTCTTTGCACCAGTTCACCACAGCTCCCTCCTCCATCGTGCAAAGCTCCCCACCCTTAGCTCACGACTCCTTGTTAAACAAGCCCTACTAGCATGGGACATCCACCACCAAACCTCCCCACCACACCTGCAACAACCACATCGTGCACCACAACGTCAACACCAACCATACACCCTTCCACAGAAAAGGACCTACTCCATCGGAGACGACACACGAACAGGCACCGAGATTCCCCATGAACAGTGCCCTCACCCTCTACAACTCATTCCCTATCGACATCACAACCCAAACTCGTAGAAATTCTTTCCGAAACAATGCATCCAGTCTTCTTTTGAGCAGTACCTGTTCCTGCTCCGCGCATCCCCCTGGTTTCTGATATCTCGAACGTGTACTTAACTATCTGGATCACCCCTGCTAACGTTATTGCCCCAGCTTGTTTTTCATGATCCATTACTTCTTGCCTCCCGGTTAATTTCCAGCAAGCTGTTTCTGGCTAGTACCAGTTCTATCGCACTTATTAATCATCTTTATTGGCGTCACGCCATCGTGGAATAAAAGAGTACAAAAAGGTCGGGAGGGAAGACCTCAGATAGGAATTTGAGAGGTTGGAAAAGAATCCACCAGCTGGATGTTTTTCTTGTTGTAGAAGTTTATTTAACGTCGCACCACAAACAGGCGATTTCGCCTTCTTTGATACATGTGGACAACAGAGAAGGAATGAGAGAGAGAGGGGGGACAGAAGTACGGAGAGAGGAAGGGGGATTATAAGCAAATCAACCTCAGAGCTACACCAAAGCCAGAACGGAATGGGAACATACTATATATGTAGGACTCAGTATAGAGTCCATGCACTATATGATGTCCAGCACCCTATATAGAGTCCATTGGTCCAAAATCCACTATACAGAGTCCAGGAGTCCACTCAGTTTTGATCAGCTTCATCCTGCCGCGCAATCCCCTATAAGGAGTACACTTTTTCTACAAGTCCCCTATTCACGGTCCAGGAGTCCAGTTTATCCAGTCACGCCGTCCTGTGTGTTGTGCCCGAAAGAGAACACATTTTCTGTTTTGCTTGCCTCGTGGCAGCGCATTCCTTTCTTCACTTCAGCCATGGCTGCCAATTCTGCTGTGCAGTTGCTGACAGTAATCTGTCTCGAGCTAACCAAGGAGGATAAGGAGACGTTCAAAATCAAATCTGGAAAGCGTCTTGTGGTTCTCTGAAGACGTTTCATCAGTGCGCGGGATGAAAGCAGAAATTGCAGAACGAGAAAAGTTCAGCACAGTTCAAATCTGACGAGTCAGGTACACTGACGCTCTATTTCGTTCGACGCCACAAGGATCCCCTGTTTGGCTGGCCATTGCTGCCAGTAAGACGTTTGAACGGTTTCATCAGAGCCAGGGATGAAAGCAGAAAGCGGAGAAAGAGAAAAGTTCAGCACAGTTGCAATCTGACGAGTCAGATACACTGACGCTCTCTTTCGTTCGACGCCACAAGGATACCCCTGTTTGACTGGACAAGAGCTGCCTGTACCACCGTGTCAAAAGGCTGTCCAACTACATGGCAGGACGATGACTGAGGTAAGGAAGCTTTTACTCGTTTCGATTGGTCTGCTGTTCTGTCGTTATGCTTGAATTTGTTTTCCATTTTCAAGGACCGTATCGCGTTTGTTTGATGTTGCTTGAATGAATGCCCTAAAAGTAATCAACCACTTCGTAATAGTCCTCAAGGACTGCAAGGACTTTGCATCAATCGTAAATGATCGTCTAGC